TTCTGGTCGATTTGGGACCACTCTTTATGTTGTAGAGTAGATTTAGGGTACATTCCAGTGGTCCTAGAAGGCTATAAAGATCCTTACCGACAAAATTGGTTGCAGAGATTCCAAACAATATTATATTGTGAACATTTGCATCCATAGTCCTAGCACCTGTCCGAAAGCTACATAACATTGGCTCATGTCATCTGATCCTTGTTTCCACCCATAATTGTAGTGCCAAGTTATTCACAGTTCTCCACAGAATACTCTGTGGAGGCCTCCAAAATTGCAAGGAGGGTGGTGAAATCATGTTGGAAGACTACTGAAACAATATTTAAGTTCACAGCATATCATTAGCCACTACGGAGGTAGGTTTAGTTCATAAGAATAAGATTTTTTAATGGAAAGCGAGTAAAGGAGGCCACCAAGCATTCAACTTTATAAAGGCAGAATATTAGCTTCTAGCCCTTACAGTGGATATCAGTTCCTTGTCTTTTTTTTGTGTGTGGATAGCAGTATTCAATTCCCTGGGGTATGGTTCGACTCATGGTATGATCCAATTGAAAGGAGGCCTACATTTTGTATAGGAAGGAAGGAAGAAAGATATATACCGCAGTGGTCCCGTTGAGGAATGTACGGGCACTGTACCTGCACACATAAGCCTATTGTATGCTATAGGGTACTCAAGTGATCTCTGAAACACCGGTTGATCTGGCTAATATCATGATCGCCAGTAAGCTGCACAATGCTAGGCAATGTGACAAGCAACATTGGTCATGGGAGTTGCTTGGGAGTTGTAGTACAACAATCTGACATTGATCCAGAGGCCTCCAAGTCTATTTGGAGGCCACCGGAGTTCTACACACAAGTTGATAATTGAGGCTCTCATAAACAGAGGGAAGATCAATGTGTGTTCCAATATAATAAGGAGAGTACTTACAGCTCTTGTTGGTTCAGAAGGTTGAGCATGAATGTCAGCATTCCAAGGAGGCCTCCAGCTGGGAAAGGAAGAATGGGTGCATGTAGATAGGCTTAAGCTTTGCATAATCCACATATCCTCACGCCAGTACCAGTGCAAGAAACATGTGTTAATTCCCGTCAATCTGCTATCGAGCAAGCACGGAGGCCACTGAGGATAATGAAAGCTATGAATTTGCTCTTTCTGCACAGGCAATCAGTGCACATTGGGATCAAACCGACCACTGTGCCATGAGGGAGATATTTTAATTGCCTGGAACAGAGGCAACCCAGATTACGGAGGTAACCAAAATCCCGACCCAAAAGGGATGCCATCACTCAGTAGCACCAGGCTTCCCACCGGCCTATTCAGGAGAGAGGAGGCCTGCATTACATAATAGAAGCAAATGTCTCCCTTCGTCGGAGGCGACCTCTTAGGTACCTTTAACTAGTACAGGGAAAGGTACCTAAGAGGTCCGCCACGTGACCAAATCGGTGACCCCTGGGGTGACAATACTGGTGCCACGCCGTATAATCATCGACACAGGTTCTCGAACGATCCAAAATCCACGGACATTCGCATTCCGGCAGAATGTGATGACCGGCCCTCTTGCAGGAGTGGAACTTAGCATCGGGCGATGATTCCGAGCCAGAGGCGCTTGAAGTCTGAAGAACAACTCGGAGATAATCGAAGATCTCCAAGGAATCCAAACTCACCTCACCCTAACCCACATACCAACTACATACAAAATATCTCAGCCGCTCCCTCAACCTGCGCTGGCGTGCTGAACGGCCTCATTAGAATCATCACGGCGCAGTACGTGTCGCCGTCCATGTGGGTCCGCGGTGGGTCCCGCGCACTTCTTCCTCTCCTCACTCACCAACCCCAAAGTCCCCCCACTTATCTTATCCTACACAATGGCCCTTGAACTCTACGGCGTGCGTACCCATCTCATCTTATCCCACCCTCCCTTTCCCCATCATCATCACCTAATTAGCTCACTCACCCGGATCTCATCTACCTACACCCAGGACGCGCGCTCGATCTGTAACAAGTGCGTCGCCCTGATTCTCCTCGAGAAGCAAGTCCCCTTCACGCTCGTCCCGTGCTCGCCGGTGCGAAACTGCCGAGTACAAGGCCAATATGCAGCCCTTTGGGCAGATACCCGTGCTTGAGGACGGGGGGTATGTTTTGTTCGGGGCGCCACTTTTCCTTCTGTATTCTGGTCTGTCCCGGGAAAGCGTGTAGAGGGCTTATTTAAATGGTATGATAGAATCGCGCGCGATGGGGCGCTACATCGCACGGAATAAGCAGGGCAGGGGACGCCGGTGCTCATCGTTGGAGAGGAGGCGGGCGTGGAGGAGCTGGGCATCTTCGAGCAGGCGATGACGATCGAGGCGACGCAGTTCCTCGCAGTGGAGCAACTGGTCCATGAGGTGCTCATCAAGCTGTGTGTCCTCCTCGTCCTCGTGTTATATTTTGCTGCAAGCGATGTAGGCATATGGGAGGGACGACGAATCCCGCGGAGGTGGCGCGGCTCACGGCGCTGCTTGCGGCAAAGATGGATGCATAAGAACAGATCCTCGGGAGGACGAAGTACCTTGCGGGCGATCTGCGTACCCTTTTACTCGTGTTATTAATCCGCTGTTGAACTCATCGGCAGCACATCAGGCTGGCGGACCCGTACCACCTCCTACCTCCCGTACGCCGAGTTGATCACCAACCGCATGGGCAGCGACGTGATGACGGTGCGACCGAACGTCGCGCGGTGGTTCCGGGAGATCAGCGCACGACTGAGTTGGGTTGCGATTAAGGACGGGGTTAGTTCGACGGTCTGAGGCTTGGAACGGGGTGTCGAGCCAGGCGGCGTGAATTCACTGTGTTCCCACCCCCCGTAGACCGACCTCTGTCTACGTAGCTCTACATGCAGCGACATGCAGCGATCTTCAGCTACGTCCAGCTACTTATGTGTACACCGAGACCTGTAGCGAGCTTGATCCATGTCCGGCTACCATCCGGCTAAATGCCGTAGACACGGTCCATCTACCCGTCGGCTACCCGTCGGCTACGTAATTCCGGGCCAACATCATTGAACGCCGTTGCCAAGCACAGCCTAACGAGGATCAACCGCTGCGAAATCTCGAAATTCACTTGAAATCTTGGGAAATGCCACACTTCAACGTTTCAACTTGATTCTTTGAGTTTCCTTAGCCCATTCTGGATCCCCAAATTGGCTCAGGTATGTGTACATATGTCTACATCCGCCTATGTGCGGCTACGTCGGTCTACGTGCGTCTACGTCGGTGTAGGTGAGTGAACAAATGTAGAGCTATGTAGACCAATGTAGACTTACTGTGTCTACATGGTGTGGACACAGGTAGACACAGGGTTCCATCTACCCTTCGTCTACGGGGGTAGACGGACGTCGCGGACCCTCCATCTACATGGGGTGGGAACACAGTCACTGCGTTTAAGGCAAGTCTAGGCAGGATCAGTGGAGGTCTGCCGAGATATCCTGGCAGACATGAGCTCACGGTCGATCGAGATACCCTGGTAGGCTTAGCAGAGGTCTGTCGATTTCATGTTTACCGACCTCCGCAGGGCCTTACCAGGTTATCTCCGGGGACCTTGGCCGATGATTCTACCGAGTCCCTCTGCACCTGCCTGGTCGAGATCTGCCGATCTCAGTTGGCTGGCCTCAACAGGCCCCTGAAAAGGTGGCATATGCACAGAATCTGTATAGGTCTGTGTATATGGCATAGCAGACCTCCACAGCCCCCGACTTAGATTCATCTTAAACGCAGTGCTAGTGATTGGATTGGTGTTGGTCGTTTTGTGCAGGTGAATGTCAGGAATAGAGAAAGACAATTAGCGACGGGATCTGGTGTATGAATACGATTTCAACTGGGTGTACACAAAGTCTACTCTGCTTGCGTTGTGGTCACCCTTTTCGCAATCAGGGAGCATAGAAGAGACAACTTCAGTCCTGCTCGCCGCGTTGAAAGTCTCCCGTGGGGGAGCCGGTTCAAAACTAAAATTCAACTTTAGGACCACCGAGTCCTGCGTTTAGGCGTGGAATAGAATATGTAAATTATAAAATTCAGCGAGAGACCACCAAAAAGAGATCCAGCTGATTTATTCAGACACAAGGATTCAAACCCTGGCTTCATCGAAGCGTTTTTGTTCATAATTAGAGGCCGTGTTCACACTACACCATGTCTGAATTCATATCTTAATGGAAGTAGTTTTATCAGGTCGTTCAAAGAGGAATGCAAGAAATGCAAAAATACAAATAAAAAAAATGTATCATCCACATGAATTCAGACACATAGAGTCCTGAGGGCAGCCGCAAGCAGGGAGGATAGAAGCAAAAACGGAAGCCCTGCTCGTCGCGTTGAAAGTCTCCCGCGGGGGAACCAGTTTAAAGCTAAAATTCAACTTCAGGTCCACCGAGTCCTACGTTTAGGAGTGGAATCGAAGATGTCCATAATAAACTCCAACGAGAGACCACCAAAAAAAAGGGACCTGACAGAGTTACTCAGACACAGGGATTTAAACCCTGGATCACCTCCAAGGCATGGAAGAATTTTATTCATAATTAGAGGCCGTGTTCCCACTACACCATGTGTGAGTTCATATCTTCTCGATTGAAATTGTTTTATCAGGTCATTCAAAGAGGAAGTGCAAGAATGCACAAATGTAAAAAGAAAAATGTAGCATACACATGAATTCAGACACTTAGAATCAAACCCTGGACTGCCTCTGAACCTTGAACTGATGCACCGGTATTTATGAGAAGAGGTTGCGTTCCAGCTCATCCAGGTAGCCTTATCAGGGCGTTCAAAGAAGGAATGTAAATAAAAAGAAAAGCCAACCTACAGTATCATTCAGATACAGGGATTTGAACCCTGGACTGCCTAGAAGAGACATTTGTGATAAACATTGCAGGAGGTCGTGTTCCCATTACACGCTTGCTGAATTCCTTCCTGCTTCCTTCGTAGTTTTGTTGGCGTGCTCAAGGGAGGATGCGGGAAAAAAGACATGGACACCATGCATATTCAGACACAGGGAATCCAACCCTGAATAGTAGCCTCTTAAAGCATCACGAAAAATTCGACTATTGCAAGAGCAGGTGTTACCATTACACAATGTCTGATTCCCTGTCCCGTTTCCATGGTGGGGTTTATGAGATTGTTCAAGGGAACATAAGAAAAAAAACAATTATACACATAACCTCAGACACAGGGAATCGAACTCTGAACTGCCACTGAAAATTCATCAAAATCATATGAAAAAGGGGCCTTATTCCCACTACACCAAATCTGAATTTCCTCCCTTCCCATCTCGGCAGTTTTATCACGTTGCTCGAGGGAACCAACTGGCTGATTTCACCACCATCTCGTCGCTTGCGCGGCCCTCCTTCTCCGGCTTCGGCTTCGGCGTGCACCCCGTGATGGACCTGGGTCGTCGTCCGCCCTCGAGTCCCATCGCAGGCGCCCTAATCGTGGCGGCTCTCATCCGCTTTCATCGATCTCATCCTCGCCTCCGGTGTCTGTCATTCACCATTCACATCCATCCTCTCCTTCTGCAGCGTTTGCACTTTCTTTCACAATCACCGCGCCCTTTCTGAGGCTTTTCGTCTTACCCGGACGGCCCGCAAGCAATTGCATCGCCTAACGTCACACTTACCGCGTCGTTAACCATCGACATCGCATCTACCCCACGTCGTCGCCATCCCCGTCATCCCCGCGTCCATATCCACCCGCACTGCATTGCCTTTCTTCCCTCCTTCCTCCGCGCACCTCACTCGAGCTCCTCACCCTCCTGTGTCCTTGCCCGTCATCGCTCGCTCACCCCGCGTCCACCTAGTATCCCGCGCTCGTCCCCTCCTCGTATTCACAGCTCGTCCCTCCTCGCGCTCGCAGTGTCCCCTTCCCTGCCTCTTCGCATCTTAATCATTCGGTGCGGTCGGCATTTACACCCCGCCGCTTCACTTCCTCCCGCCTCTCTTTCTTTCCGATCCTCATCATCCGTCCGCGCCCGTCTCCCCTCGCCTTCCCGTCCTTCCTCGCCCTCGCCCTTCTCCTCCTGCTGTTACCACACACATAGCTCATCCTCACCCCTCCTCACTCTTGTCTTGTCGTCGTCCCTCCCTCCCTCCGTCCGCTGTCTCCGCCATCCGCCATCCGCCATCCCTCCGCGCTACGTCGCTTGCGGTCCCTCCGCATTCCGTCGGCGCGCACGGTGCTACCGCTGCGCGCGACGCGGTCCCGGCCCTCCGCGTAACGCCCGCTCCGGCCCTGCCGGTGGTGCTGATACGCGCGCGCGTCATCCCCGTTTTCCTCATACTGCTATCGCCATAATTCGGGGTCCAAAGCTCACCCCACGCTCACAAATCCACATCCAAATCCCGGCGCTCGCAAATCCACGTCTCAGCCCTTCCCAAATCGAGGCGCGCGCCGTCCGAAGTCACCGCTTCTCGAATCCGCATGCCCCGTGCTCGCTCTCACGAATCCCCGTGCTCGCAACGTCGAATCCACGCGCATCACGTCCCGTCTCGAAGTCCCAGGCCAGCTCAAATGTAATAAAGCCCAAGTCCAAATGCCCGCGCTCGCACATGCATGTCCAAATAAATGCCTGCACTCGCAAATGTGAATTCACGCGCTCACAATCGACGGGCATCTCGAATCTCGAATCAAAGGTTCGCTCGACTCCTCGCGCGCAAGTGCAAGTCCCGAAGCCCTTTTCCCCGCGCTCGCGAATCCACCGAATCTCGAATCCGCATGCCCCGCGTTCGCAAATCCTAATCTCGACTCCAAGTCCACGTTCACGCGCTCGCAAGTGCAGGTCCGAGTCCGCGCGGTCGCAAATTTAAGGCTCGACTCCCCGCGCGCCCAAATCCACATCCCCTGCGCTCGCAACTCCGCAGCTGAATGCCCGCGCTCGCAAATGCACGTCCTAGCCCTATTCAAATCGACGTCCACGCGCATGCCGTCCATCTCTTACAAGCATGAGCGTTCGTGACTCCGGGATGTAGGTCGAGTCGGTGTTGTGCGGTAGGTGTGGGCGCGCTGGGTGTGTGAGGTGGTGGGCAGCGTTGGGTGGTGGGGGAGGCGGCGATGTGGGGGCGGAGAGTCGGTGGTGCGAGATGAAGTAGTGCCGGTATTACTTGGCTATGTAAATGTTTTGTTTGAGGGCGCGGGTTTTCGTTCCTTTGCGGGTCGGGCTAATATTAATGTCGCGTTGAGAGTTTGAAAGGGGTGGAAAATACCAAAACAAAAGATCAACGTACTCAGTAATTCAGACACAGGGGATCGAACCCTGAACTACCTCTATAGCTGAACGCTATCGGGCAAATTACAAAAGGCCATGTTCCCACTACACCATGTCTGAGTCCCTTTCTCAGTGCTTGGGTTTATTTTATCGGCTTGGACGACTGTTTGAATGACTCGGAGTGAGTTCCTGTTCTGACTACTTACATGTAGTCTTTCTTCATGCCTCGAGGGGGATGGTCGAATTGAAGCTCCAACATTCGAACTTCAGGCAACAGGCTACAGCAGTGCGTTCAATTTGACGTTCCGTGCGCGAGGATGAGAAAATGAAATCAAACACAAAAAACTCACTTCCATGCTACATTCAGACACAGGGATTCAAACCCTGGACTGCCTCTGAAAACTGGTGCACCATTTTCTATAATCACAGGTCGTGTTCCTCTCATGCTTCCACGGAAGGTTTTATGGCTCGTTCAAGGAGGAAACTGTAAGAAGAAAAGAAAAAGGATCAAAACAATGAACCATTCAGACACAGGGATCCGAACCCTGGACCGCCTCTGACGCAGACATACACAATAATACAAGAGGCCGTGTTCCCACTACTCCATACCTGAATACCTCTCCCCTTCCAAGTTGGGTTGTATTAGCTCCGAGATTCAACCAAAGGTTTGAACCTTCCCGGCGCGGCGCGGGTGGACCCGGTAAGTCTGGCAGTTATGTATAAGGCAGTGCCAAACCCAGCTGCTGAGGCCTACGAGCACGTTGAGTCCACGGCGGCGTCGAGCTCACCGCCGTCGCGGTCGTCGAGCAAGTCGACGTCGCGGGCAACGTGCATCGGCTCGCATCCTGCATCAATGACGTCACCCGCTCCCCCAACTCGCTCGGCGCTGATTTCACCCTACTAATACTCACCTCGATGGTGTCGATCCCCCGCTCATGCGGCCCTCGCCCAAACGGCCCGCCCTCTCTCTGACACCTCTTACCGACACTGGCTTCTGCGCGCACCCCGTGATGGACCGGCCGTCGCGCAGGGAGTTGGGGCCGTAGAAGTACCCAGTAGACTCGTAGTCGTCCGTGAATCGTTGAAAGGCTTCAGGTCTTGCATTTTGCTTGATGAAGACTCCTGTGTGTCCACCATTGTGAAGCGGGACGGCTTCGGCACAGGTCTTCTCGCGAGGCAAGACTGAAGGGCGGTGCTGCGAACGCCTTGCCATGGCTAGAGTCGCCATTCTGGGGAGGCGAGTCCGTGCGTTCGGGACTCGAGCCTGTGTCCCTGGCAAAAGGGATCGTTTGACCCTCGATCGGGCTCCTAGATCCGGGAGAGGAGAGCAGAGGGTTTGGATGCTCAGCCGATGCGAGGATCAACGAGATTGCTCGAATCCTCCAGCGCCCACTGAGGTAGCTTAGACGAACATGGAAGAGTAAAGCAAAGTAAGATCAGATTAGGTAATCTACACGTGACCTATTACACGTGACTACTTTGGAAGATATGTACATAGGCAATGTAAAGTAATTAGAGTTCATACGAGAATACACTACATGGTGTCACAGGTGAGATCGCTCTTGAAGCCGTTATCTACCCGTCGGAAGAGCCCGGCCGCAGTGAACTGTGTGAAGGAGTAACGTGATTCTCCTTCCTGGATGTTCACGTTGGAATGGTGAAGGATCACGGAGGGGAGGAGGATGGTGGAGCCGGGGGGGAAACATATAATGAGCCTGAGATCCCACAGTATGAGGTGACTGCTGGCGTCGGGGTCGAAATTGCCAAGAGCGGTGATGGCACACCAACCCCAAGCAAGATTGAGAGCGTTGATGTGAGGTAGGGCTACCGTGGAACTGGTTCAAGACTGAAATTCAACTTCAGGTCCACCGAGTCCTGCGTTTAGGAGTGAAATCGAAGATGTCCGTAATAAACTCCAGCAAGAGACCACCATAAAGTAGGAACCTGGCAGAGTTACTCAGACACAGGCATTCGAACCCTGGATTGCCACTGATCGTCGAATATTGACTGATAAGAAGAGGCCGAGTGCCCTTCCCTTGAAGACATAGCCCATTTGCAATAGTAATGGTGCGAAGAATTGACCTCAATGGCCCCACATTAATATCAGAATGATTATGGAGTGTATGGCTCACCAAGGAAACTGAGCCAGATAGCGAGGAAGATCGAGAAGGAGCCAGTAAAATAGGACATATGGAAAGTTTCATGGAGGTAATGAGCAACAGAACAGCCCAAGATAGTACTGATGAAAAGAGTGAAAAAAAGTCGAAAAGTGATTAGCCTGTTTGCGCTGCAGCCATCAGCGCCATCTGGTGGCTGATTTGCAGCGCGCTGATGTATGGCTCTACCCGTGAAAAATTCCCACAGATGGCTTTTGGAGCCACTGGGAGCTATTTTGACGGGTGGAGCCACTCGCCTGCGCACTGCAAATCAGCCACTGAGTGGCGCTGATGGCTGCAGCGCAAACTCTCTATTGATAAGAGCTCAGCATGCCGCGGTTTTGAAGAAGGCTGAAGCCTAGGCTTCTCATAGCCTCAAATGACGTCGCAGCGAGCATTCGAGAGTACTATATGGTGGCCTTACCGGCCATAGTTGGGTAGCAGGAGTTTGGGAAGGACAGACTGGGTGAGGGAAAGGGAAGGGAATCGTGAAAAATGGTGCATTTTATACCATTATTCCCTCAGGGTCATCACTTAATCTGTTGGGCCTGTGCTGAAACCGGCACAGAGACAGTGTCGAAGACAGTAGACTTGCAGTCCTCGCGATACTTACCCGAAAATTTGTCTGTACATCCAGAGTGGCTTTGAAGTAGTTCATAAGGTGGAAGGGGATATATTCGCAGCAGATAGTATCAAGAAACACACTGGAAATGCCTACAGTATGAGCGAAATAATGGAAGGACTAAGGCAGGAAGGAAGGTCGACAACACGTGGGCGCGTCCGCATCAGAACCGAGACTCCGGAAGCAAGATGCGTGTGACCGGCTTGGCGTGATGGGTGATGGCTGCACTGCCGATTGATGGCGCCGTGCTTTGCCGAGTTTTGGTTTTGGTTTTGGTTTCTCGTTTATACCGCTGTTAGTCTCCATAAATAAACCGTGGAACATCATCTGGGCCGCCTTGATTCCGCTCCTTAGCTTTTGGAAATGGTGTCGTGTGCGTCGAGTTGCGGAGAATGTATTTATGTTGCTCCACCCACAAATATCGATACTATCACATAAACATTGGGATGGGAACCAGACAAAATGGCTGTCATTGTGTACGAGGTGCAAAAAAAACCTCACGCTTAGCCTTCGTCCCTACTAGGTAGGTACACATTTGAACGTCTAGAATATTGCACATGAGAGCATGTTCTCAGAAGCGGATCGATCACAACTCACTACCTCGTTAGACTCGGTCCCGCCATAGACTCGCCGAAATGCTTCCACATCACCCGAAAGCACCAGGCCCCCCCACCATCCTCTAACGATGAATGTCTGCGGCTCTGAACTGTCGGGATTGATCCACTGAGCAGCGAGGCCTCTGGTAGCCGGATCGTAACGCCAGATCGGACTTTCGATGGGCAACAAGTTTCCTCCATCTACCGCACTGACGGAGTTGAGGGGGCTGTCGACCTGTGGCTTCCCGGATGGGGTTTCGCTCGTTCCTATGAGCTCCGCGTGCCTTGTCGATACCCCCAGCCACTGGTGCCAACGAGGGAAAATGACACATACCTTTCATGCCCTGGGCCCATGCTGTATTGTGGAAGGTAATTAAAGACTATCATGGGGTGTCAATCGTTCGGCGCATTACAATAATGCCGCGTGTACTTACCGCCGCCGACAAATGGGAAAGATGACTCGGCGGTGGGACCGTTCATGGCTCGTAGATTGAGGCGATTCGTGGACTCCGAATATGAAAACGACACTGCGAGAGCGCCTGCCTGAGTTGGCTGGAGCTCCCCGTAGAAGCCGTATGTGTTGGTCGGGATGCTGATGTACCCAAAGTCGTTCCCGCTGGCGGTGTCTGTCACCAAAATGTTGCACGAGACTTCGGTGGGAGGCTGTTGGACGAATTTAGTGTTCAATGTAGAATATTCCAGAAGGTAGGGACACTAGCCGGGGTCATCCATTGACAGCGGTAGGCGCTCATAAGGTTGTCGAAATTGTAATCGGAGAATTTGTTGATCGTTTGCAAGGGCGCTATGTCGAGTGTTTCTCCGATGCAGTTTTTGTGTCTGGGATGTTATTACTTTGTGAGCTAAGAAGCATTGCATTATTGACCCACTTGTACAACGTGCACAGCGACTTCGCATTGCCTTTTGCACTGGAAGCCTTGTCGTTGTCTGTGCCGCGGACGTTGATGCACTTGCCCGGGGGTGTACTGGCATTGACACATGGAATCCTGAGGTGTGGCTCGTAGCACCAGGTGAAACCCGGCTCCGCCTACGATTGAGAGCTCAGCATGAAATAGATGATGGCCAGGGAATGCGACATACGGCTGCAAGCTTGGGGACAGCACTTTGAACATCAAGACAATGAGCAGCAGGGACCGAGAGCAGAGCTGCGAAGACGAAAGCGAAGGACCACATGTTGTCGACGTACACTTGGATGCATACTTTCTCTTACTTATACCCCAGACACCTCGAGTTCCATTGGATCTATCTGTAGATCGCTCCGAGGAGGTCTGAGGAAAGAGCATGTCCACTTCGTTTCTATTGTGGTCCGAGGTCGGTGGTGTCTTTATAACGTTAACAACCCCGCATTTGGTTAGATCGGCTACCCCAGATACACTGCGTTCAGCCGGTCCCTAGTCGCCGACCGGTCGAGCCGGATGAAGGCCGGCGTACGTACGTCTAAGCATGTCCAAGGGGGTTTCGGCGTTAAAATTTCGGATACAGGGGGGGGGGGGGTCCCGAGGGCGGCTGAAAAAAACTTTTATCATGTATTATGAAGGAGGTTCAAAACTGTCAGAAATGCACCATAAAGCCCTCCAGGAGGTGGAAAGAGGGTATTTGGGCCTCTACACGCATGTACAGACGTGGTTGTCCGGATTTGGAAAGTCCATCAATCATTATGAACGTCTCCGAGTGTCCGTCGACGGCGGGGCGGCAACTCGTTGTCGAACAGCTCCCCGTATGTACACTACTCTACAAGAAACACCGCGAGCCGCGCACTCGGCCGTCGTTGGAGGAGACCCCTCTCATACTCTGCCCCGAGGTTTCGTCGTCGATGCACTGAACTGGTTCGTTCCTTACATTTTGTTCAATCTGCGTTCATGAACTCAAGAACCAATTTAAATACAAACAGAGCCAGTTCAAATATAAAAGAAAACAACCTCGCCTACGTCTCGGATTGCGCGATACTAATATTATTTGCTAACGTGAAGTCCTACAAAATCAAGGAATGCTTACATGTGGCTCCGGAGCTCGGAAGGTATTGTCAAGATAACATCCAGAAGCTGCGAAATCGTTGACCCCACGACGTCCGGTAACTCTTGCACGATCTTCAATAATCGTCAGCTGCGAATTGATACTGATTATTTTGGGCCAGCGTACCGTATGTCCGACGTCAGGTATTGTTGTAACCGAATCGACTATCCTCCCTTTTGTCTTGTCAATGACGTCGTCGCGGATCACT